GGGGGGGGGGGGGGGGGGGAGGCTTTACCTATTCTGCCTTTTTTAATATTAAAGGCATAGTTGGAAACAATTAATAAGTTTAATTTTGAAATTTTAAAGTGACAATTATTTGAGAATTTTTTGAGCTAAAACGATAATTAAAATGGGAGGGAGATTGTTCGTTAAAATTAGAGGCGATGAGCTCACACAAGCATCCGGACCAAATTTTACTCTCGTATTAACCTTTAGATCATTCCTATGGGACTATGTTACTTTCATTATCAGTGTTGGGCGTAAGGCGAGGCGTTTACATATGCTTCGGCGAGGCGTAAGCCCCATGAGTATTTAATTTTTAATATTTTATGTAATAATATAATTACAGTAAAATATTTACAACTAGGTAACATTGCATAAAATTTGAAGAAAACTATAAACATGTGAAAAATATATCTATATGTGCTTCATCCCCTGTGAAAAATATATCTATATGTGCTTCATCCTCACAAAAAACTAGTCAAAATAATCCATTATACGCTACATACAAGCACAAATAACTTGAGTTGAAAAGAATAAAATTTTCTACATGGAGAAATAAAAAGGCTGACTAACCTGCAATTTGATTTTGAACTTGCTGGTAGAGTTTTCTTTGTATTTGCAAAAAAAAAATTAAAAAAAATTGACTATTCGTTGCTTTTGGGAGATAATAGCAAACTAGTGGACAAGATAAAGAATTGGGAAAGATTATAAATTAGGGCTTCTATCAATAAAAAAAAAGTCTTGACTTTTAAATTAATATTTCAGTTCCTTTTTAAAACTTTTGAGTATTTATAAGCTGACTTTTGAGAATTTGGGTATTATATGAAGGACTTATTCAACAAATTTGGTTTTAATTTGAAAAAATCTCTGGGTCTTACGCTTCACTGCAAAAAAATGCGCCTCAAACGCTCGAGCTTACGCTCCGAATTACCGGGTGTATGCCTCTTGAGACTTTCGCCCCACACCTTCGCCTCGGGATAGTTTTGGTATGCCTCGTGCCCCGAAAATACCTTTTAAAACAGTGTTCATTATAAGTGTACTTGGTTTCAAATATAGGTGATAGAGAAAGTTGTGGGTAGTTTAACTGCCAATAGAAAACTAATCTAATTATAACGAATTAGAGTTGTATTTCATTGAATGAAATATGTATCAGTTTCTAAACGATTCTTCAATCCAATGCAAGGAGAAAGGATATCAGCATGAACACACGTCCACGTCCTCTGATATGTAAGATTGAAGCTTCTCTGTTCATCTAACTTTGAATAATATATGAAACAAAAGATGAATAAAGATAATAATATATTTACAACTACGTCAAGATCGTCCACTCAACCATGTGCTTTTGACCTAATTATTTTATTTAATGGACTTTAGAATAATGAATAATAAAAGTACTGCATTAGATAATCATGATTCGTTGGAGCTTGCTCATATGCTGATTAGATTCTCATCCAACATTTTATTTTATTAGTAATAATGCGTAAACTTAAAATTTCCTATTGCATATACGACTTGTCACACAATAAGCACATTTCAAAACGAGTACCATCTAAGATTATGGGGGTAAAATTAATACTTATCCAGTCTTAATCAAAGTCTTGGTGTTCCAATCCTCAAAATGGAGTCTCTTTAGTAGGAAGTGCTTTACTCTTTACGTAGAATTTCCCGGCGAGAATCCTGATTAGCCGGACCCCAAAACGAATATTGGACATCGAGTGAAAAAAAATCAGAAAGAAATCTAAAAGAATCTCATGTTCCTTATAGCCAAACCAATTATCTTTTAAGTAAATCGAACAATAGGAATAAAGGAAATATTCCAGAATGAGAATTACAATCCAAGAAATGACTCATAATAAGATTACAAAATATAGAATATTGCATTGGCACCGGATGCTAAAGATCAGCATATGGCAAAAAGCCTTGAAACAATGGTGTAAATAAGGTTCAAATCTCCTAATTCTCTTTTATAGGAAAGAGTCTCATTTGAGTTTACTCTTTTACATGAAACAGAACGAGTAAGAATATATCCTATATGCTCCTTGTCCTTTTAATTTCTTAATCCACTATTTACTAGGGCAAGTGGAAGTATGATGTGTTAGGAGGCGATGAAACAAAAAATAAACACTCAACTTTTTTTTCTCCATTGAAATTGTAATTCTAATCTGTAATCTCCCATGATTTTTATAGTAGTTTGATCGATTGTTAGGTTATATCCTTAGATGCTGAATTAATTATTTAGACATATAACACATTCAAATCTCAGTTAAAACGAGTAAACGATAACTACAAAATAAATATAAAAGAAGGAAAAAAGAAGAAGATTGTCCCACTTAAAACTAGTGAAGACGAAGTAAAACCAGTAACTAAAAATATGAGGCATTTCATGAGGTGCCAATGTAATGACAAAGGAGAGAGTACTCAATTAATCTGTAATCAATGTATTAGTAGGAGGCTATTGAGGAAAACCTGAGAGCCCTGAAATTACTTTTTGATTTACCCTTGGCCCTTTTACCAACTAGGAGAAAAGCCTGGACTAATCATCTATTGAGGAAACATCTAAAACTGGTTAATTAATAAAAACTACATAATAAGTGGTCCAGATCTGATTCAATCTGAAAACATTCAACTTTGTACAGGTGACCAAATTTTGAGGCTAAACTCAAGAAGCTAGACAAGTGAGTGAAAAGTACTGCAAAAGTAATATAGTATGTGTTTGCTAACCAGCCTGAGAAAATTCCAAGCTAAACTATACATTTTCATCTATTTGCTTCTTCAGTCTGTGGCTCAGGCCCTCTGTCAAAGCTGATGATGATGATGATGGTAAAGAGGCCTTCAGCAAGCTCAACGCTTCGGACGCACCAACACTGATCATTTGCTCTTCAATATCATACATAGGCACATTTAGTTCTGCAGTTCCAATTTGCAGTAGCTGATTCTCAGAATTATGGTAAGGGGCAATACCAGGCTTGGGTAATATCCTCTTAAGATTGTTATTCTCTATACTTCCATAAACATTCCTATTCGCATACATATTGAACCATTTCAAATCTAAAGCCTACACACTTTTATACAAGTTATCGATGCATGCCAACCTAGAACTCCCTTTTAGAGCATCTTCAACTGATCCTATAGAAATTAATGGTCAAGAAGTTGAAGAGAAAATCAATGAATTCGATGCCATAAGGCCTTGTATGTAGACTTTCTTAGTGTTAGCTTCAGCTCTAATTTCTTGGTGTTATTACTTGTTCCATCTTCAGAAATGGATGACAAATTTCCAAGCTCAGACATTGTGATGGTGTCTAATCTTGCTCTTTTTTGTTTTTGCTTGCGCAGAAACACATCAGACAAGGGAGTCTTTGAGATCAATGAACATGCTAGTAGATGAATCACCTTAATGGTTGAGAAAAGAATCATGTTACTAGCTGCAAAAATCACAACACAACATGTAAAATAAACTATATCACAAGAAAGACGGAGTAATATTTAGAATACGAAGTCCTGGTAAATTAGTAATCACTAATTTTCTTGACCCTATTGCAATTTACAAAATGGTAAAGGATATTACCTCATCCTTGCCAACTTCTACAAGCATCTCCCTGATCTGATTCATGTTCACTATCGGTAGTACTATACTCGGTGAAAATAAAAATGTCTGAAGTAAAGTACGAGGTAGCAAAATTCAACAGAGATAACGGTTTTTCAACATGGCAAAGAAGGATGAGGGTTCTGCTCATCCAACAAAAATTACACAAGGTACTAGATGCTGATGCCAAAAAGTCTGATACCATGAGAGCTGAGGATTGGGCTGA